AATCTTAAATAACATAATTGATAARTCTTTAACTCACACCTTAAAACCAGAAAATATTAAACCTACATGGCTTAATATGCACACTTCTTTATATATACATAATACATACATTAAAATATTTTGTACTTATGCATTCATACATTCAATGTCAGTAAAATATACTCCATTTTAAAAGTCTATTATTTTCCTCCCAGCACTAGCCCAGGGACATAGGATGTGCTCAATAGACATTGGTTTAGTTGAACTAATGTATTAAATAGAGCTTTTATTTTTATTTTATTTTTTTCTTTAGAGTACTGGAATCTGCTCCATTCCATAAATCACAGCACTAAAATAATAACAGAYAGAGTTCAGGTGTAAAGTGTGGAAACCAAATCTTTAAAATAACAGTTTCTAACAGTATGACTGTGCAGCTTCTTGACTGTACCTTTAATACCTGCACTGAGTTCCATTTSTTTCACCTTTGCCAAAGTAAATTTTCATACCACACCAGAGTCCCAAGGCTAGGAGTAATTCTACTCATCTACTCTACTTCCCACCTTCAGTTCTTCTCAGGAGCCCTTATCCTTATAACCATACCAGCAATTATATTTTAAAGCATGCAACTGTGCCAGCACCTCACTGTGATGAACATTGAAATGGATGCACATGAACACAGTGGCAGAGAAATATGGAAAATTGTTAACTTTCCCCCTGGATTYCCAGCACCCTGTGCTGACCCAACACTCTCTGAGAAAAATTCTTCTCTCTCTTGCTTCATTATTGTAAACTGAAAGCCCTAACCACCACCAATATGGAAATAGCACTGAATTTCATTTAAGGTTTTTTGGTGTGGACCTTTGTTTGGGGAGTAGAAAGATTATATCTTTTAAGTCACAGAATTCAAAGGAACCCTCTGGTGTTGAATCAGTGCAACTGAAATGGGTATGAGGGTGGGACATATTCAGACATCTTGTGATTTTTTTTTTTATATTGTATAGCAATCCCCCGAACTAGAATGGAATCCTAGATCTAGATCAAATTAGAAGTTCTCAGACTAATCTGCATTTTAATATTGCCCCAAATATCTGATAGACCTAAAAAAGAATTGCCCCCAGGTTAAGTAGCACCTGATAGTCAACTGGCTCCTTAACAGTTAGTATGGGATGGGATAAATGGGTACGCAGTGTGCAGGTGGGAAAGTAYAGAATACAGGACAACCCAGTTAACTGGAAGATTAATTGAACTGGGACAGAAAACAGATAACACAGGAACTTTTAAAAATTATATTAATTCAACTTGATCTTCCTAGCTGCCTACTCTGTATCCTGTAACAGGAGAAGCATTAGCCTTCCATTATCTACAGAGTCACAGTCCTTCACCTCCCTACAAGATACTGAATTTGTATTGTAAACAATTCCTAACTAGGAATCCTATCCCAATGTCACATGAGCCCTRAATAAAAGCAGATGGAAATGAATATGGTTTAAATGTCTTCCCTTCTGGAACCTATATCCTTGTTCCCTGCTGTTACTCCTGGTTTTCTCTGCTTTCTCCCTCTTGTATCATCCCTTATTCCCAGGAAAAGGAATGAAAATCCTAATGTAAATTAGGTGTTTAAATGTATAAATCCCTAATATGGCTTAATATGTCACTCTTCCTGGGATTGCTTTCATTTAAAAGACATCGGAGGAGCTCAGTGCTAAAGCAATCAATCTGCCTGGGAGACCAGGAGTTGGAACCCTTTTCGGGACCTTGAAATCACACCATGGACACAGACCATTTGTAAGGCCAGACCCACCAGTATGACTGCCCACCTTGGCTGCTTCTCCTCCAGAAAAGTTTCTTAGACAGGAAGAAGAGTCTCTGGACTCAAGTAAAAAGCAAAGGCTCTACGATAGCGTTTAGCAGCCCGTGGAGCACACATTCCTATATGGCTTCGGGCTCARAGAGCACATACAGTACTGCCACGGTACCCGGCAATGCCTAATGCATTCAYTAACGGCACTGCAGTTACATCATTTATGTGCACATCTGAATCATTCCTAACACACCCAAAACAGACATGCACAGCGCGTCAAGCAATGACAGGGCCTTTTTAGAGAGACCATGATTAAAAAAATAGAGTGAGTTCAGGAATAGCCTTTCCAAAGGCAATTACCCAAACAATCTGGTTATTCTGTCCCTAAATCTTGATCTAACTAAAACCAAACAAAAAGCAAAACAAAAACAAAGAAACCCTAGTTCTTAAATGTGATGTGCAGGTGACCAGCACTCTGCAGAGAATTCTCCCTTGGGCAACTCCTGATGGCCATGGAAGACTGGGTGGGTGATAATCACTTAACTGTATAGACGACTCCTATTTTTATCACGTTACACATGCGTTTTGGCACTACTGACACCACCAACATTTAATGGAATCATTTGGGATTTTCCCCCCAATCACAACATGGCTGTGGCCAGTACAGGGAACACACATTAAAGATGTCTCCCAAATTCTGGCTGAGGATACACAGTGACGACTTTTGAAATAACAAGGTCTACTGTACATGCATCACTCTGAAGGGTGTGCACATTCTTGACTCAGGCATATTCAAGGGTCAGGTCACTGAGGTCGGTGGAAATACTGAGATTTCAGCATTGCCACTGAATGGAATGATGCAGAACCATACCCACCAACCCACTTCCAAAGTAGTAGGGAATGATAGAAAGCACACAAGAGAGAAAGCACGGATTCTGAAGAACACTGGAACACTAGGCGCTCCTGAGGGTATCTGCAGAATCTCACAGTTTTGGATGGATTGGGTCTTGGTCCATACCCATCTGTGATACAGATGGGGCTTACTGCTGAGTTCCTCCTCATGCATTTTACTGCTTGTTATTCTGGAATTAAGTAATACCTAGAACTTGACAATGCTTAGCCTTCCTCKTTTTAAGCATTCTTGAGCAGGCCATGCATGTCTTACTTGGTCCCAATTCAAACATCCAGTGGATGAAAAATGATCAATTAGAGCCAAATAAGGGGTTCAGAAAAATGAAATTATTCATCTGACAGCTTCTGATGATGGAAGTATAGGAAAAAAATGCAGTAGGGTAATATGCTATATAGACTTGGGAATTTCATTCTGTGGGAGAGAGAGAGAGAGAGAGAGAGAGAGAGAGAGAGAGAGAGAGAGAGAGGGCTGCCACACTCCACAAAGCCAATGTCCAGGAAAAGACTTCTATTTGTCTGGTTAACCCAAGGTCAGGTTGTAAATACCTGACGTGAGGCAAATAGCACCTTCCTGATGGCAGTAATGAGGACAAGGCAAATATAAAGCCACTGTTGGCACCGTCCCTCATATACCCACCTGCTACCTCTAAAGCTAACTTCAGCAATCTTTCTAAGGGAATCATCTAGCCACTGGTTTTGAGTGGATCTGGTCATCTTTTCTAGCAAAGCATGGGAATTTCTAAGACCCGAATCTAGTGCTACCCCTGTGTAACCAGATGGCACATTCTTCAAAAAGTTAAGTCAGTGGACGTTTTCTGGGTGTGGCCGCAGCACAGATTTCTAAGGGAGGGGTAGGGGGCTAGGGTTAGGGCCCAGGTACTAGGAAGAAAAGGGTCAGGTGGTGAGATGGCTGCTAAACACCAGAGAAGTCTACTGGGAGATTCCTCAGGATGGAGCTTCCTGAAACCTCTCAGTCACACTGTGAATGGGAGGTTAATTTGACCTCAGTTCTGTTTCAAACCCTTTTGGAAACCTTTGCTGTGCTAGGTATTGACAGGGAAAATCTGGTGCCACCAGCTTGTCTTTGATGGAGTGCTGGTACCCTACGTCTACCCAGAAGACCACAGTCAGACGGGGCTCTGCTAAGAGCCAAACTGGACCCAGCAAAGCCCAGGCCAAATTGTATGAACACTTCTCAGAGACCAGCAAGAAGACTGGCTTGGGGGTGGGGGGCATGGACACAAACTATTTTCCCCTGGCTTGTTCACCGTAGTGGCTTCCATTCACATTCACTTTTTCCAGACACCCTGAAGCAAAAGCCATACAAAACAATTCCCCCAACGGAAAACAAAAACCTGTAACAAAACACTGTTTTCCCCCTCATTCCCATCCCCACCCCACTCCCTCCAGCCCAACACCCTGAATACTCACAAGAGAACACTTTATCTATACAAAATTAATTAGAAAACAAAATATTTACATATGAAATAAACACCATCTTGATTTCTGTAGCCARTGGAGACCAACAGAGCCCCCTGTGTTCTAGATTGCTGTTCGCTAGGATAGTTGGTTTGGTTTTTTTTTTTTTTTATTTTAAAGGGGTGAGGTAAGAGGAAGAGTGAGGGGATGAGCCCCTGACCCTTGGACAGAGCCAGGGTGAAGCGATGTTTCTATGGCCCTTCTCGTTCTTCCTCCTGGAGACGCCTCACGCCCTCTGTCCTCTCTCTCAAAAGTCTTTCCTTGAATCTAAGGTTAAAGCACTCCGTGCTCCTCTCTCCAAATCTGTGAGAGGTTCAGCCCCTTGCCCCCACGTTCATTTTAGAAAGAAAACAAAGCATTACAAGGCCTTCAGTTGGCTTTAAAATGAAAGATACTGAGGTAAAAATCAAGGAGGAGGACGGGGGACAGCAGTCGAGGGCAGGGAAGGAGGAAGGGTCGTGAGGCAGGGCGATCAGGAAGGCAAAGAGCAGCCCTGGAGTATGTGACGTGAAGAGACATGGCAGCTTCCTTCCAGAGGAGGATGAGCACCTTTCTGGTTTATGTGTCCTGTGTGCAACAAGGCGATCCTGTGGTCAAGCTTCCAATCAGACCCGGGGCTCTTTGGATGCCACCCTGTGAGAGGAGGATGGCAGGACAGTGGAACTGACCCATAGAATACCCCCACCCCAAGTTCCAGGCCCGGCAGTGACAAATACTCATTTCCCTTCTCAATTTTCCAACTTTAAGTGAAGGGGGCATCACATCTGCCAGTACCCTCATCCCTGGAGTTTTACACACACACACATACGTATATATATATTTACTTTTGAATGGTACAATCTGAGAGGGAACAGAGGTGTTGCAGGAAGGTGGAAGGGCTTCTACCAAGAGAGTTCCCACTGGGCTCAAGTCACATTCCCAGGGAGCCAGGCCCAAGGAGGTAGTGGGAGAGTCCCTCCCGCCTACCGTTCCGTTCCCCACTTCCAGATCAATTCCCTTCTCTCCAGGCCTCCCGAGCTGTGCTCACGGGGGTAGGCTCATGCTCTTCACTGTCTGTTCCCTATCAGTTGTCATCAGTTCTAGGGGAACAAGCCTGCTTTTCTTGCTCCAGGCTAAGTAAGAAGGGATCAAAGCATTGAAAACATCCCCCTCTCTCACTTACCCTACCATAAATGACTCCCCTCTTCCTCAGAGCCTTACTGAGCTTCTCCCCAAACCTTGCCAGTTGAGGGTCTAAAAGCTCAACAGAGCTTTATGGAGACTTTTGCTCTCAAGTGTGCGCAAAAGAATTATGGCTGCTTCTATTTCCCTTTAGCCTTCCTGGAAAGTTCTTGACCCAAACCGATGGAACTTACTGGCAATCAATGAAAAATCATTTTAGTATCTTGCTTTTGTAGGATTGTCTCCCTTTCTTTTTTTGCTTTTAGCACAGAATCTTCTTTGTCAAGAACTTCCATTCCTCATTCAGGAAGGTGAAGGGGACAGACAGCAGACACTCAGATAACATATGACCATCTCTGTTTGTATATAAGCCAAAGTGAGTGCATTGCTCAGGGATATGGAAGGAATCAGCACAATGAGTCAAGTTGCCTTCTCTACATTTAGAGGCACCTGACCGCCCATGTGTGCAAGTATACATGGACATACATGCACACACGATCCCCTGCTGTTGCCTTCAATGCACCATAGAACACTATAAAGAACTTTCTAGTTTGTTCAGGAATCCCCTCAGCCACCAATGACCTTTCACTCCAGTTCACTGCTAATGAATCTCATGGAGTTGAAGCAAACTTTCTTTTTTTTTTTTTTTTTTTTTTGGCTTATATATAAACACACAAGGCCTCCTACCCTCCCTTTGGCACACCATCCCTGTGCAGATGTCATCCACCCAACAAGAATTTAGCAAAAGCCTCTTTTCATTCACAAGCAGTATGCTAAATGGTCTCACTTAGATGCTTTTGCTTCCTCACCTAAACAGAAAGATAAGTTTGGGAAAAGCTACTCCCGTGCTCACATGGCTTCCTTTTGCTTCTCCTGGCTTCACTCAAGGTAGATGGCAAAGAGCTCTTCCTTCCCTGCTAGGAGGAAGCTCGCATGCAGTACTTCCTTTCTCCTCTGAACCCTCCCGCGCTGAGAGGGCCCGTTTCAGCCCTCTTATGGGAACAGGAATGGCGCACAGATCTGGGGAGGAGAGGAGAACTGTGAAAAGGAGGAGGGATGGTGCTGGTCACCAGGGTTGCCTTCAGCAAGAGCCAGAACTCCAGGATCCCATAAATAAACTAAAAGAACAAGAAAGGAGCAAATGGGAACCAAGTTCACCCCGACCCCCTCCGTGACATGCGCACCACACGACCCGCAGCCCGACCCCTCCCATACCCACCTTAACCTCTCTCTTCCCTCACTCAGACATCAGACTCAATACTAGAAAGTTTCTCATAAACATGCCCATTGCTGGAGCCATTGAAAGCCCTGGGGTTTTTGTTGTTAGGCACACAGGGGTTGGACTGGTTCCCTATACAGATGTCCTTCTGGAAACGGCCTGGCACAGCCCCATGAAGGGCCGAGACCACCGGCTTGTTGGTGACAAGGGCCCGGAAGTCCGGCCTGGCTTTCGACGCCCCTGCCACAGTGGGCTGCCTGAAGAAGTAGGATTTGCTGCCATGGAGCAAGCACTGGTCGTCCCCAAAAGTGGGGATGAAAGGGTTTTGCGTGACCCGGTCAGGGTAGAGCGACTTGCTGAGCATGTAGCCGCCGCCGGGGTTGTTGTGGTGGTGGTGTCCGGCAGTGGGCACTGAGGACTTGTTGTTGGCAAAGGTGCTCTCGCCGGCTGGCATCTCAAACATGTGGGCGTAGGGGCTCCCGTCCAGGAAACGGCCCTTGTCTTTCAGGCTCACGCTGCGCGGGGCCAAGGCGGCTTCTTCCTTCTGCAGGTCCACGAAGGTGTCGTACGAGTGCTGCCGGCGCAGTTTGTTCCGATTCTTCTTCTGGGCCTTGGAATTGGTCGGGCTCTGAGGATACTTGGTGGTGGAGGCATTCGACGTCACCGCCACGGGGGCAGCCGGCTGGTCCAGTTCCTGCAGGGAGTTGTCCTCGCTGATGTCGTACAGGTTGCCAGCCTTCTTGCAGGCCTCACACCGGATGCACGCCTGCCGGCCCGAGTTCTGACCTGTCACCGTCGTCGAGTAGTTGTGCAGCTTGGAGGGACAGCTGCGGCAGAAGTTGCCCCCAGACCGGTCATCCCAGTCCACGTTGGTCAGGTTCTTCTCCCAGGGAGCTGGGACCCCGCTGACCACGCCGTGTTTGTCGCCCGACGGGTGCTTGAGGTGCGACCTGTTAGTACAGGGCCCTCCTCCGCTGACCGAGTCGCGCTTGAAGTCATCGCTCCGCTCCTTGTAGATATCGGTCAGGTCCACGTGCTCCCAATGAGGGGAGTTCTCCTTGGTTCGGAACTGGTCCAGGTAAAAGTCCCGTAACCCTTCCTTGTCCCTGAAATAGCGCTTGTGGTCAGGGGAGCGGGGCGGTCGGCGACGGTAGGCCAGCTCGATCTCGTCGAACTCCCGCCGGGACTTGGCCGAGGCTGGCCGCTTCTTCAGGCTGTCCTTGTACTGCTGCTTACGCCTCTTGGCCGCGTTGCCTTCGATGTTTCCGTAGGTGACAGTGTGGGTGGAGATGTCTGAGACATCTGAGCGGATCAAGTCGTCGTGGCCACTGTAGCGGTCACTCTTGAAGGAGAACTTGCCGTACARGTCACTTAGCTGGCTGTGTTTGGAGGAGGGCAGGCCAATGTCCAGGGGCTTCTTGCTGATGGACCTGGGCTGGGTGGTGAAGGGTGGGTTGTCACAGTCGTAGAGCCCGTCGATGGAGCTGGTGCTGCCGATGCTGTGCGGCCTGTGGTGGTGGTGATAGTGGTCTTGGTACACGTTGCTGTCCTTCAGCTGCAGATTGCCAAACGTTCTCTCCACCTCGCTGATGTAGTCGCTGAAGAGGTTCTCCTCGCAGGGCGGGTTGTTATAGGACTTGCAGTCGGAATGGGTGAAGCTGCGGCGGTGCTCTGAGATGTCATAGACCGATGACTCGCGGCGGATGAAGTCCAAGGCGCTCTGGGGTGAGCCATTCACGCCAGAGAGGTTGGCCATGTTCTTGGCCGTGCGGAGCAAGCGCAGGATGTTGGAGTGTGTGTTGTTCATGGTCGCCGTGGGGGAGTTCATCACAGATTGGCGTTCTTCAATCGCCACTCCGTGAATGCAGCTGTAGATACCCTGAAGCAGAATACCACGGGACAGATGAGATTCAGGAAAGCTAAAAATGACCATAAACCACATTCTACAATCAAGACATTCCTAGAAGCCAGAGAAAGCATAAAGCAGATAGTTTTATCCACTCTTACAAGATGTAGCTAGAAGATTGCCTGTATCATCCCCTTGAATTCAGCGAACCTCATTTCATGAGTTAAGGTTAGTGACCTGGCCATCAGAGAGGAGCCTTGGCTGAAACAAGTGACTTGAACAAATAGACTGGAATCACAAAACATGACATTCCTGATTCAACTCCACCATTGACTTGATTTTTCTTCCTATGCCCAGATTTTCACATTTTAAGAACAAGGTCATGATATGAACCCACAGTTAAAAAAAAAAAAAAAAAAGTCAGCCTTCTGGAAATAGGTGGCAATGCTCTACAGAGACTGAGGATGCTCTGCTCTAGCTGGTTACTCCCGAATGGYAGAAAAGGGGCGCAGTAGCTCACAGTTGCCTCTCTTTTCCAACTTTGACAAAATTTGAGCAGTTTTTACAATTTTGGTCACCAAAAACAGCTGAACAATTCTGTTCTTTAGTCAAGCATGAACCAAACTCACACAGAGAACTAGGAAGCCTGGGGTCAAAGAAGAATTTTTCTCCTACTGTGCCCTACACCATGGGAGGGAAAATTGGGACAAATATCAGATACTAGGTATGAATAGTATGAATAAATAACTCCCTTGTTGAATTCTCTCATTTATTCTCCCGTTAACTCTCAATTTCCTTCTTATACTTTCTCACTCACTTAATATTATCATAAATAATGTTTTATCAACTTAGCATTGATTAAAAGCTTCCTGTGTACAACTCTTTATATTGGGCAGTGAAGAACAGCATCCATGAGAAGGAAGCGCTGGGCTCCTGGYTGGCCTCCTAGGTCCACTTCTAAAGTCAAACCAACCTACTGCTCACCTCTTGTTCCCTGCCTTGAAAGGTAGACAAACTGAACTTTTCTCCCTGGTAAGGGAAAGCATTGAAGAAGTGCTGAATTGTGTCTTTGCAATAAGGGAAATAAATTTGGAAATGGATGTTCTCCCATGGATAGGAATAAAAACAGAGAAGGTTAGAAGGAGAATGGCAGCTAAGTGGGAAAGAAGAAGGGAGCCTATTGTCCCAGAGGATATCACAAGGTCATAGTTACTCTCTTTTCTGTCCTTGTCCTTCTATCTAACCCTTCTTTTTCTATGACCTGGAGAAAATGCCAAGCATTTTTCCTCTCTCAAGGGACTAATAATGTCAAAAGGTATAAGCAAGATTCCTATTACAGGTCATCAGTTTCTTTTGCTTCTGTGATTGCCTTATCTTGGGTCTTGGGGAAGGGCTGTGCAGTAGAACAACCCAAATTGGACTGTAACCAATGCAAGTTCCATTCTCCTATTCCAGTGGTACTGATTGACCTCAATCAGTACCAGAGAGGAAATGGAGAATTGTTCCCTATCAGTGAAATACTACAGGAAAATTACCAAAAAAAAAGAAACAATTTAATGAGAAATCCATTTACTTTCATAACTCCATTTGAGGCAAAGTTGGTCATATTTGGAAAGTGGACCTCAATCCCAAAATGTAATTTGAGTTGTCTGCTCATGAGTGGGCCCCATGACCTTATTAAAAAAATCAAAAGAGGTCCACTTTGTTTTTTAAACTCCTGTCTATGATATCTTGTTGATGTACAAAACTGTTCCTGATGCCTCACTTTAGATTAGAACTGAAGAAGTGACCTAAAGAATGACCTAAGAGTTATACTCTTGTTCCAATTAAGGAAGTTACTGGAATATAAATTTCTTGTGAGTCAGGACTTATTTCTGAAGGTCCTGTTAAGCTCTTCAACTCCTTATACTCCACTCAAGATTAAGACATAGGAATAGTGAGACCACCATTAAATATACCTTTGTTTGTTAGAATTAGAGAGAGATGTTTCATTCCATTGTTTAAATAGAAATGTGACTCTTTTAAAGGATTAAATGATTAATACAGCCTATAAAGAATTGACTAATGGTGATGAAAAGCATTTGGGGAAAAGCCAAACTTTCCATTTTGATGGATCTGCCAGTTCTTATTGCAAACCAAATGCCCAAATCCCACATGGAAAGGTATTTCTTAAAGGAAATATAGTATCAACTTTTTTTTTTTTTGGTCCTCTTGAAATATCACAAAAACTTCTAGTGAAATGCATGATGTGATTTCTTGCTCTAGCAACATAAGGCTGGAGTTAGTGCCCTCTTGGGGTCTYTCTGTTTTGCACAGTGCTAGGCTAAGCTATCCTTAACAAGCTCTAGGCATCTAAATCAAAGCACTTACTCTGCTGATGGAGAAGACCATGCCAGGCTTGCCAGAACAGACACCCATAAAGCAATGCCGGAACTGCCAATAGAAAAGGTGTTCACAGATGAAGGTGATAAGGCTGAGTGCCATGGCTGCCCCCAACATGTAGAAGACGCCCGCCATGTTGTCAATGTCCAGCTGGCTGCTCATGACCTCATTCTTCTCATTGTGGCAAATGCCAGTGAGCCAGAGAGCTTCCAGTTCTTCCATCTCCCCTGGAGACAGGGCAGAGAAGAAAAATAAATAAAGGGGAAAGAGTAGGAGAGGAATAGAGAAATGGGGGAAAGAGGAATATTAAGGAAGAGAGAAAAAAACAAGAGAGAGAAAGAGACAAGGAGACACAAAGAAAGAAAATGAATAAAGAGAGTTAATAGTAATTTTATTAATACCATTATATATTAGCTCATCAATGTATTCAATAGGCATTTAGTGAAAACTCAATGAAGATACTGCAGGTAATACAAAGACATGACACATTGACACTGCTCCCCTTTACCTGCCCAGTGTAAATTGATATACATAAATGATCAATATGACAAGCTATCTGTTATGCAGGCAAGAGTTTAAATTACTGAGAGTAATTTGGTGGATGGAGGGTAGCTAGTGGGCTTTCGTGGGGGAGGTAGGACTTGGGATTGGGCATGATGGATTAGTGAATTTTAATTTATCTTTTACAAAAAGGCACTCCAGGCAGCAGAAATACCATGATCAATGGGAGGGAGGTGGGGAAATACAAGCTTGTTTAAGAAGAGGCAGGAAGAACARTTTAAACAGAATAACAGTCAGCAGAAGAAGCCAAGTAAAAAACAYCCATGCAAGAATTCTGAGGACATCAGTGTCAGACTAAGCACTTTGCACTTTATTTTACAGACAGTGGGAATTAACATAATCAAACAAGTGATTCAGAAACTTGCTCTTACAATTGCACAAAGCAGACTTGGCAGGGGAAGGAGAGACAGAGAGAACAGCAGAGAGATTGGTTGGTTCCCTAGGGTCCCTTAGATTTACAAATTTCTTGTTGAAGAGGAAAATACAAATAAATATATAACAGCAAACTAGGAGTAAGCTTGAATAAAAGAAGATCACCCAAATCATATCTGAGGGCTCTTAACACCGCATAAGGATGCTTTCATTACTTAAATTCTGTCAGATTCCAATGGCCTTTATCTACTTCACAGGATACTAGGAATTAGAAAGGTAGAAATTCTAGACTAAAGGGAAATGGAATAAACCATATGCCCTGGAATGTCTCTTATCCTAGAGAAGCACAGTTCAGAAAATCTCATGAAGAAGTTGTCCATTCTAACAGTTACAATTTGATTAAAAATGTGGACTTTGCATGATCTGAGTAATGTTTTGGCAACTTCTGCAAATCATCTCTAGTGTTGCTCTTCCTCATAGGTACAGGCTCCATTTTTTGCCTATAAGTGACAACCCTGAGTTACAGAAGCTCTTATACCAGGGCTTAGAAACACTCTAGCTATACCCACCTGCTCTTTTGATATTAATATAATCACTTTTTACACAAATCATGCTTTTCCTAACTAAAGGAACAGCCGAGTTCACCTGGAGTCTGGGAATCTACCTCTGATTTTCTGCTTCTGATCTCATCCCTAACGGCAAAGATTCTGCAGACATAATTGAGAGAACCACTTGGCTGATGGGCTGTGGAGCCATGTGGAAAAAGGCTGTTCATCTGTAACTGGATTAGATTCYGTGAGGATGACAGGAAGAGTAGGTGCTTTGGATAATAAAGTGAAGAGAAATGCAGAAGACAAGGGTATAATGAAATAGAAGAGATTTTTCTCAGTGCAAGCTGGCTGCTCAATCTGCTGCCAGAAGTGACACAGGCGAGTGCCTTATGGTGCCTGCCTCTGTGAACCCCTGGCCTGCCTCCTACCTCTTCCAGATGAAAGAGGAAGGTAGGAGGGAAGGAAGGAAGAGTAGACAACTATGCCTTCATTTCCCTGCTCTTTCTCTGGGCACATAAAGAGTCCTTCCACAGTTCCAGCTACTGTTTGGGCCACATRTAAAATGACTGGTTGGAACATCTAATACCAGTCTCTTCTACTTTTTCCTGGAAGGTCTGATTACACCCTGCAATATTGAAACACAACTTGTGACCAACTATTTTAATCTTCTCCCTCATCCTTCACCCAATATGGGTTGAACTGTGTCCCCACCTCCCCACCATTATTCATGTGTTGAAGTCCTGACCCCCAGTACCTTAGGATGTGTCTTTATTTGGAAATAGGGTAATTGTAGATGTAATTTGTTAAGATGATGTCATACTGGAGCACAGTGGTCCCCCAGTCCAATATGAATAATCTTAAGAGATACGTTCAGAGGGAAAACGTGCATACATGTAGGATGCCATGTGAACATGGARGCAGGGCTCAGGGTGAAGCTTCTACAAGCCAAGGAAGACCAAATATTGCCAGCAAACAATCAGAAGCTTGGGGAGAGGACTCAAATAGTCTCTCTCACAATCCCCAGGAGGAACTAACCCTACCAACACCCTGATTTCCAACCTCTAGCCTCCAGAACTGTGAAAGGATAAGTTTCTGTTTAAGTCAATGTTCATGGCACTTTGTTATGGCAACCCTAGAAATCTAGCATATTCTCAAATTTCATTATATACTGTGAGATGCTTTTTTTGTGCAAATGCATAGGTTAGAGGAACAGAGATGGAAGAAGGGTTGATATTTTGGACTGGCCATTGGAGGAGGACAAATGGGCACTTTCCCTTTCTTTAACTCACCATCTCCAAACAGCTGCAGGATAGCAAGGTCCACCTGGCGCTTCCACCCAGAGTCTTTCTGAATGGCAATGCCATAACCAGTGGAGGCAAAGACCTTGCCGCTGCCAATGGTGACCAGCTTGCAGCCTTCGTCTCTGCCCGCCATGTAGTTCAACACTGCTGCATCATAGATGAAGGCATCCAGCTTCCTGYACAGGAAAGAAGTAAACAAAATCCAAAAGAGGAATTTCAGAACAAAACTACACAAGGGGCCATTAATATGAAGCAGCAGGATTTCATAAAGCTATGTAGAAAACTGGTTCAAAGTAAGGCTTAAGTTGGGCTACTGCCAGAATCTAAAGCCCAAATCCCAGGCTGTTCTTTATGTGATTTCAGGTTGAAAAGGAGGTGATCTTTCCCTCCCACTGGGAATGACAAGAATGTATGTTGGGCCTGAAGCCAACTCATAAGCTGTGTCTGAAAAGGAGAGGGAGTAAGAAGGAATCAATAAAAATAATAACAGAAATAATGAGAAGTAAGCGCCACAATGATAACAAATAGCATGGGTAAGATTTATATAACATTTTTCATTTCTCAGTTCATTACAGTCCAGAGTAGGGATAAGTGTAGGTGTCCGTGTTCCAATAGATGTGCAATGCTATTTTTGTGGTCRGGAAGGTTCCAATATTCTGTTGTATGGCACAAGGACAGAGGTGAGTGGTTGGGGTGGTGGCAGCACAGGCTTGCCAAGAACAAATGAGAGACTACAAGGGAAGGTAACATATGGAAGAACTCAGATCTCCCCAATTCCTAAATGATCAGGACCTCATTCTGTGGGTTCTCTTTGATAAGGTAGGAACACATAGAGAAAAGCCTTGGACTAAGGGCAGGAAGGCATGAATCAAAGCTTAAAACCAACATTTACACATAGCAAAGCTAGAGGAAGGAACTCCCATAAAGCCCAAAAGGTAATAGAGAGGTCTGAAAAAAGAAAAACATGTATCATCCCCTGTACTTTTGCAAAGCAAGTAGTTTTGTCCCTCCTTGAGAAACAAACAAAAACAATCCTTTCTTCCATGATACACCATGAGACATTTTATAAAAGGTGCCCCAGAGAAAGTGGCATACCAAAAAGACAAAGCTCTGATATGATTGAGAATTGGGGGTTCAGACTACCCAAAGCTGTCCTACCCCAAGTCCAAATTAAATCTTCTGAAATCCCATGCAAATGTATTGATGGTATAATAAGTAACCATGTGTCACAGGGATACTGAGAGGAAGTCCACCTGCTGCTAGTCGTTATGTGACACTGTAAAGCCCCATTTGATCCCCAAATCCCAAATTCTATAATGCCTATCCCTTTCTACAGGTCTGGCTTCTGGAGACTAAATGAACAAAAGGATAATCAACACATTTGTAATTCACGAATTTCTTTTAATGAACAAAAACTCTTAGATCCAACAAAAGATTCCAACAAAAGCTGGAATTGGAGATCAGTCAATACTTGCTTACTTTTTGTTATCTAAAAACGTTTACACTTTTTGTTCTGTCTATAACACACCAGAACCATCATTTTCACTTCTTAGAGTACAGGTTTTATTTCATGAGTAACGAATGAGGCTTATCCTTGACTCTTTCCTTCTATTTTAATATCTATTTCATTTATTTTATGGTTACATTTGTGCAAGTAAAAAGTAATTTCTAAAAAAAAATGCAGAAGTAGTAGCATAGGAATCTTTGTACACAGGCTTGAATCACATTGTCAAGTGTAACTTGGAAATCCATAAACAGTAAATAAAGTCTTTGATCTTATGTTATGTGGCACAATGCATGGTATACTAGTATGTCTGATTCAATACATGTTTAATAAATGCGAGGAACATATCAAGCACTCTCAGATGGGAAGACGTTCTTACCCTGTTTTCAGGGAGAGCAAAGCATCATCCACACCTCTCTGGTTGAACTTTCCCATGTAGGCATGCATTTCTGCATAATTGTTACGAATATTCCTCTCTGTGCTGCCATTGGGCACAGTCCCAAAGCGGAAAGGGGGTGAGAAGTCATTAGGTCTCTGGAACTGGAGAGAGAAAGAGAGAGGGAGGGAGAGAAAAAGAGAAAAGGAAAGAAAACGCTTTAGAAAATATGAAGAGACATTAAGTTAGCATTAGTGGTTTTGTAATGGAAGGAACCCAACTATAATTCACTCAACACATTAGCCTCCATGCAGGAGCTCACAGTAATTGCTATCTGGAAGTGGACTTCAATTCAACTCAATTTAATACATATTGTTGGGAGATTTCGATTTGCCCAAACCTGACTTTAATCTATGACCCTTGTGTGTTCATTTTATGCACATYGCACAACACCAGGGATGATGGGCCAGCTAGCATAATTGTGGTGGAATAGCCACCCTTCTTTCTGAAAATTGGATAAAATCTGCATCCTGTCCTCTTAATTTATGAAACTAAATACATCATCATTGTACTATTAAGGTTAGAGGGCCTCTGTGAGGTGAGTTATATTGTATTCCTAAAGATAATGTGTTGAGTATCAAATMTATTTTGCTAAAAATTTTTCTCTTGACTTTCCGAGTATTCAAAACTCATAATTCTCCTATGTGAATTATAGGATAAAKTGTAAAATCAAATATAATTTAAATTATGTTTCTCCCTTTGCTTAAACTCTGAGAGTGGATCTCCAGTGTCTACTATAAAACACTGTAATCTCTTGGATTTTCACCCCATGACATCGGGTTTATTTTTGGTTATTACCCTGCAATGAGTAAGTCTTTAAGTTGCTTTCTGAGCACATAATTTGTTCATTTGCATCTTCAGAGTCTCATATCGTCTATCTTTTCAGCACAAACTCACCCTTGTCTCTAGCCAATTCATGTTCTTCATTTCAAAATATCACTCAAAGCAATTTCTTCAGGAAATCTTTTGTGGATTCTTTCTTCTATCAAGTTTACCCAAAGTGATCCATTAGCACTTGTTATTCTGGTTTAGATCACTGTAATTCATACTAAAAATTTAATTACTCTCTAAAAGTTCTAGCTAAGTAATGAGAGCTAGTCTCTGATGTAGTCATTAAGAGTTCAAGGTGTAGATTGCAACAGATGTGGATAGAAGATCAGCTCTGCCACTTAATATTGTGTAACCTTGGGCATCATTTTCTATTATGCCTAGTTTTCAAGATTGTTATGAAAATGAAATTATAGAATGCACAAGAAGGGCTTGACACAACATTTGGCACACAATAAATGATCRATAATTATTATCACATTATTTCAAATTCAAATCTATGTTCTGCATTTCCTAGTAAACTTCAGGCTCTTGGTGATTCTTATTCTGTAAATAGAGCAGTGATCATTTAGAGTATGAACAGAGTAGTTCTGTTGTGCCTTGGCATTAAAAAGACAAAAGATGTTTAAAATCCTCTTAGTTTCAATCTGTACTAGTTACCTGGGAGAAATATCTGAAATCAAAACTGCCAATTCAAGAGAACTCTGAAGCTTTGGAATTACCTGGGCTTAGAAGCTATTCTTTTCCTTCTCCAAATTGGGGAGGGGAGGGTCATGGGTCACAGAACATCACAGCACCAGAAGCCATAGTGCCATCTTAACCACTCAGTGTGGCCATAGTTAAAAGTAGACTGGTGCAGTGGTGTTAGGCAGTCTGGGTGCATCAAAAGACCACAGATTGCAAAAGCTCCCCCTTGGATTCATCACAGTGCTTTTGCCATTTAGAGTTTTTGAATATATATGTTTTTTTTWWWAAATACTTTTTTTAGTTGTAAATGGACAAAAATACCTTTATTTTATTATTTATTTATCTTTATGTGGTGCAGAGGATCGAACCCAGTGCCTCACACATGCAAGATAAGCACTCTACCACTGCCCCACAACCCCAGCCAAGAGTTTTCACATATTTTTCAAAGCTTCTAATTTTTAAGTTAATAAAGACACTACAGAAGAGTCAAAAATTTCAGAGTTGAATGTGCGACTCAAGGACAAGTCATCTAAACTTTTCATTTTGACAAATGATGAAACTGAGGCCCAAAGATAATAAGTAATTTGCTCCACATCACACAGTGGCAGTGATCAGTGCCCAGCTCCCTCAGATTACAGTTTCTTCTCATTGTCCCCAGAAGGAGCAAGCTTAATGTAACAGCTTTAATGTAAAACTTCCAATATGCTTTATTGGAAGAGAGACACTAGAATGCTTTGCCTATAACTGCTGGATATAACATTTCAGATGTGTGAAGAAAGGTATCTTATAGATAGTACGGTAGGCAGCAATGTTACCAGATAAACTCCCTTTAGTCAGTAAGTCACCACTTTGTTAGGGCAATGACAACTGATGCSTTCAATGATGACTAAGCTACCCTAGAGCCCAAAGTACTTTCTAAAACATCAATGAAAGCTGTAATCCTGTCCTACACAGTTCAAGAATAAATTATTATGCTTTAGCTTTCTTTTGAGAATTGGCAATCTATGCAAGGTACATGAAATAATTTTTGATTAAACAAATGGAATCCCAAACTCAGAGTGCCTTACTTCCTGCTGAAGTTCCAGATACAAAAAGTCCATACTGTTCTATAATAACTTTTAATTTTAAATTGTCTTTAGATTTTTTAGGAGTTGTTTTATAACTTTTTCCCTGAGTAAATAAATGAAGAAAACAGTCTTTTTTTCCTTGAATAAATAAATGGTAAACAGTATAGAATAGCATGACAAMTTGAAAAAGAAGCAACACCAAAGGAATTATATCATGTGACTTCAAAATTTGCTGTAAAGCTCTAGGAACGATATTGGCATTATCCCCAATAGAATCATTGTGTCAGAATATGGGGCCCACACATATATAGTACAAAGGTAATTTAGTGCAGATATGCTAGTTCTCAGCAAATGGTGTGGAAATAATTAGATATTTGTATGCAAAAAAAGACCTTATTCCACACCTCAGAAGATGTGTAGAAATTAACTCAAAAGTGAATGGTATACCTAAAGTAAAAATCCTAAAATTATAAAACTTCTAGGAGAAAATATTTGTAATCTAGATTTAGACAAAGATTTCTTATATACAACACCAAACCAAACACAATCTATAAAAGAGAATGAAAACAACCCAATGATGACCAAAAGATCAAAGATAAATTAGACTTTAACATTAGGAACTTCTTAAAAGATGCACATAAGATCATGAAAAGATAAGCCACCAACTGGGAGAAAATATCTGAAAATAAATTAAAGCTATTAAAAAACAAATTAGATAATGACATAGCAAGACTTATATAGTTTAAGCATCTTTCATAAGAAAATAATCAGAGAAACCAACCAGTCAGTAATGGGAAGAATGAATTTCACACAGACCTATGGAAAGAACCTGTCTTGGAGGGAAATAATTTGGATTTGAACTTTGGCTGTCTCAGGCCAGTTGCTGGAACATGGGGGAATTTATTTAAATTTGTGGAGCCCCTTGTGTCTGGAAGTACTGCTTTAATGAATAAGATAAAATGTAGGAAAGCACTTAACACCACATCTAGCACATGGTGGATTCTCAAAATTGTTAGCTGCTTCTGTGGCAATGAAGTTCTGATATCTAAAATTGTCCTATGTAAGACAATGTTCTCTTAGATTGAAAAGTCTTGTTCTCGAATTTGTTCCTTAAACTAGGCCAGTCTGGGGGCCAACAGGGAGCGCACTGCCCCAGAATTAGCCAAAGCAGAAGCAGAAGTGAGCTGGCTTTTTCCTTTGAAAAGCCTTATACTACCTYGATAAGGTCTGAGAGGTTCAACTAAAACAGAGATTTTTAAAAAACTGTTATTGAAACTTGAACTTTAGCAAAATTCACATTCATGAAGAACTGGAAAGATAAGTCACCAACTGGGAGAAAATATCTGTTCAAGGAGGCCCATGGAAAAGAAGGGGGAAAAAGTCTTCCAAATATTTGATGCTTTCAATAAATGCCCTTGTATTAAAACTTATCACAGGGGCATGGGGCTGTGGCTCCTTGGTAGAGCACTTGCCTTGCACATGTGAGGTACTGGGTTCAATCTCAGCACCACATAAAAATAAATAAACAAAATAAAGGTATTGTGTCACTCTACAACTAAAAGAAATATCTAAAAAAATAAAAAAAAACCCGAGATGTAAGGCATTATTGTTTTACTCTTGAGTGGCAATCAGTGCTCTTTGGTTTGGAATAAGAACATTAAAGAACTAAATAAGACATTGTCTTGAATAAGACATTCAAGAACCAGAACGTCTTAAAATAGAACAGGAAGAATCTTAAAAAAAAAGAAACTTACAAAAAATTAGAAGTCCAATATACCAGTGGGACCTAAAATGAGATTAAAAATCTCAGTCTGATTTTAAGGTAGGATTTTTTTTTTTTAACTGTAGTCTTCATTAATCACGTTTTGCTTCATTAGAGGGCTTCCTTGACTTTAGAGTCCTTTTCTAGGATCCATTCAGATTGGGATTACTAAAACATAGATTTGAATAGGGAAATAGAAACACAGAAGAGAAGGAAACTTAAGAATCAGTCCCACTTCATAGATAAGGAAATCAAAGCCTTGGAGAGGTTAAGTACATGGCCCAAGGCCACACATGGTACAGTGGGACAATCTGACACTTGACTCCTGGGTGCTAAGTCAGTTGCCAGCTCAGATACAGTCAGAATAGTCCCCCCACTGCCTGGTGGGGAGAGAAGCCTGTAATAGGGGTCATGTGGGGAGGGTCTCCTTCCCTTTCTAGTGTATCAAATGTTAGCTCCCTCCCTTTCCCCTGGATTCAACACAGGGCTCTCAGCAATTACTGTAAGCACACATTTGCACAAGGGCAAAACAACACCAGAATGTTAAGAGAATTGCAATCTCACTTGATCCTCCTGGAGAGCAGCAGTGAATCACAATTCAGCCCTCTGAGCTGCTCAGATCATCATCTCAGCCTCCATCTTAATGACCTCAAAGAGAACTGGCCTTGGCAGTCATGCAAGAAGAAAGGTGCTGCAAGTCCAGGAGGAAGGCCCTGCCTGACCCAGAGGTGATCAGACTACAGCCCCTGGGGCTGTTCTT